AACTGCAGAAGGGCCTGAGCAATCTCATCTAATTGGACCTGATTTGAACAGGAGATTGGATTAGATGACCCCCAGAGGTTTTTTGCAACCTAAGCTATTCTGTGATCCAGTGAAAAGAAATTCTCACTGTGTGTACAGAATTGTCTTTCCTGATGACCACATAAAGTGGAATTTGTTCAGGCTTTTAGATTAAGTCACTCTGTGTAGTGGGTCCTTATGTAATACTAATCAATGCTTCAGATCAATTTATATTATTAAAGAGGTACTTTAAAATTCTTGATTATTAGTCTAAGAGCAAAAATTCAGAGAAATATTTTTCTGGTCCTCATTTTGAAGTGCACTAATTCTGAACAGCCTTTCTTGGCCGCTCAACCAGCCGTTGCTTCCTCCTGTGATGTGAAGGGTTGGTTAGGCCAGCCTTCATTTTGCTAAACTTTCTCTTTTAATGGGAGTTTTGGGATCTAGTAGTTTCTCCAAACATTGCATTCCAGTAGGTCAGCCCACATTTGTAATGTCATTCAGATCTTGTTTTCATGTTTGTGGCAAGCATTAAGAAAACAGGAGTGCATAATCATTTTTCATGTCCTTAAGACTGTCCAAAAGGATGAAAAGATAGATCTTTTGAAAAGAGGAAATATTTTTTGACATAATAAAGATCCTCTAGAAATTCAGGCTTGACAGCTTGCGTCTTTCACCGGCTCTGTACCTAGATCTGTATTTTTTTCTTCAGTCTACTTCTTTTGTCATCTGCTTGACAGATATCCTGTAGTTTCCAATTGTGACAGTTAGGTGTGAGTTACTTCCTGAGTAACTGGGGTGAGTTTGTACAGGATTGTGTCTAACTCCATTCTCTCTCTCCTCTAGAAGCCCTGTATATATACAGATCAAATGAGGGTTTCTTGATGAACTGGAAATGAATCCTTCTAAACCTTTATTAGCATCAGTGAGTTGCTCCCTTGATTTTCTCTTTCAGTAGGTTTCTGCAATGAGATGCTTCAGTGCTGATCTGTGTGGTTGAACTGGCTGTCTTAAGAGGAGAATCTTACATGGTGAATCAATGCTTGCAGAGTACTTCAGAATTATAGGAGGAACTTGATTCCTCCAAATCTCAGTTTCTGTTTAAATTTGCATTATATTCAGGTTGATACAGTGATATGCTTTGTGCACAGATGCCTTCACAATTTCCCAGTTAAGGCACTCATTCAGCAAAGTAATCTAGCACATGCACTGCATCAAGTATGTAAGTAGTAACTGTAAAATCCACACTGAGTAAAGAAAGGGAAACTCAGATAATTGAAGGCAAAATAAATTAATGTGGGCTAAGCCCATTCTGAACAATGAGCATGTTTCAAAAGAGTTTTTTTTCCCAAGCCTTTTTCTCTGTCTTTGGCTATGATTTTTTTTAATAATTTTTTTTAATAATTCTAAGGGTGTCAGATTCTAATGGTCGGATTGATTGTCCTCAAGCCTGCAAGCAGTTTTTGACAAACACTGAAGTCAGGCCTCCCCTTGGCAGATGGTCTATAAGATTTCTGTGGTGCAGTGGGGGAGGTATTTCTGGGGTCTGTACAGCACTGCAGGCTGCCATAAGAATTCAGTGTTCGAGAAGGAATTGCAAGGAGGTCAGGCAGTTATTGATAAGCATATGTGGGCTACTGAGAAGGTCAGATTCAGGGGCCTCCCACTGAGGCAGCCTGCAGAGCATTGTGCTGTTGGAAAAGCCACTCCTCTTCTCATTAGAAACTCTGCCAGGAAAGAAGAGAATGAAGGGAAGGAGAAATAAAAAAGAAGGGGCTTTGGGTATTGAATGTAATTTGTACAAAGGTACAGCAGGCTAACAAATAGGAGAATTTCACTGGGATAAGTGTCCAATATTTTAACATCTTCAGGTGGTTTTGTAGATTGAAGTAAATTAATTTTTCAGATGGAGTAGGTTTCACTTCAGTTTAAAGGATGTTTGGTACCACTGAAAAGAGTGTTTACAATAGTGACATGAAGATAAAGCAAAATAAAAATGCTGGAAGTTTTTTATTAGAGAAACTATTTATTTCAAGTGGTCTCTGAAACAGATATGCACGTATCTCATAAAAGTGATAACTGTAGGATTTATCTTCTTTATGACAAGGATTGTTTACCTCACATAAGTGAAGTTAAAACCCATGTCAGATAATCTGCTATGAATATTCTTTATATAGAGAATTGGAGAAGAAATAGGCTCAGAACTTCCTTCAGTTCCTTGGAACCTATTATTTTTCCAGCATTTTTCATTCTCAGTCACCTCTGATTACAGCTGAGCAGAGATCAGAAGCCAACTATTGAGGTTTCTCTTTTGTGCTGGGTAGTGATGGCAGGGTGAGAAATAAACTACGAGCTGTGACCAAAGGCAGACTTGTAATTATTTGGCTATAATGATAATTGGCCTTAATACTGTAACAAATGCTCTGAGTTTGCACATCTGAACTCTGCCGTTTGGATCAATTTTCTTGTTTACAAAATCAGCTTGCCTTTGTTAGCACCAAAATTACCCAGTAACAGAATGGTGAATGATCGAGTGAGGTTCGCTGCAAAAGAAAGGAAAAGAATTCTGCCTAGGGCTGAAGTTTGGAGGGCAACAGGGAGAAGTGAAAATAAGAATTTTTGGAATTATTGGTTGACTTCATTAATGCTGGTTGAGAGGTCTGTTATTTTCTCCTCTTACCTGGTGTAAGTTTAGACTCCTAAACTGAGATGCAAAGGACTAGAATAAACAACCTAAAAACAGTTGACACAAAACCTCTATCACACACAGTTTTGCATGAATTTGGTTTACATTGCTTGTAAAGACTTATCACTCACAGCACCTTTCAGTGTTTGAAGATCCATTTTGTCAACCTGAAATTGGGACATGAACATTCTCCTAAAATACAGGTGTCCTTTCTCCTCCCTGCCCTCCCCCACATTAAGATTACGTCCTTGGCTCTCTCAGCATGAATTATTCCCATTGCTTGTTGTTCAACACCCTGATCGGAGAGCAGATGAGACATTTATTCCTGTTGTTGCTGATTTACTATTACAGCTGCTTCCTCTTCTTGTGATTTAATTTGAAGTTTCAGCCCACCAGGGGGCTAATGGTCCCCACCTATGCAGCTTTAAAAGCTCGCTGTTGTTTTCCACCGGAATGTTATTTCCATTCCTAGCCAGTGATTTATTATTTTTTCCTCAGTGTTCGTCTGGTAACTGTGAGGCAGTATTCCATTAGCCATTTTCATGTGGGGGAAAAAAAAAAGAAAATCCAAACCCCTGCAACTCCTTAGGTTGAAAGCTTACAAATGAGAATTACTCTGTGACAGTAGAGACTCAGCAAATAAATAACAGTTTTGCAGTGCAGACTGAAGACTCAAAACTAAACCAAATGTAACAGGACCTTAGCAATCATTTAGATCCTTTACACTTCTCTTCTTTTTAACATATAGCATATAAAAGTCTTTTTTTTTTCCATTTCGGGAAAATGTAGGGCAGGCAGCAAACCCTAGAGTATGTGCAGTAGAATCCACTGTGTGATTGTGTACTGCTAGTAGATTCTGCATGGGGAGCTCAGTTTGAGAGGAACTACAAAGTTGTGACTGCAACTGGACAACCAAGGAGAAATTAGTACTTCAGGAATGCTTTATACCAGACTTCTTACAAGATCAGAATTACACATCTCTCTTACTGACTAATTCATGAAGCTAAACTTAAAAAGTGATGAGTTTTTTGATTCTAAATAATAAATGACCTTGAAAAGCTTTCTGTACAAACAGGAATAACTTTGATGTTTAGCAAAGTTTGTTCTCTACCTTTATTGTTACAGAGTGAGTTTAAGAGTAGCAGTCTTGAGTTTGCATTTTGTAAAACATCTGGTTTTCTATGTTTATTACATTTTATGTGACTAAAGTCTATGTACATGTTTATGTTTTCCTCATCTTAAGTATATATTTGTAGCATAAACATATACATTTTATGATACATTCTCTGCTGGTCTAAAGAATTCTTTGATGAATTACGCACCTTCTGGTGTTTGGATGTGTCCTTTACCAGTTCATCAGTCGTTTTAGAAATCGAACTCTTCACTGAGTTAATGGTATCTTATCTGGCTAGGAATCACAGGTGTATTCCTCACAGACATCCTGTTTTCGGTGGCTTGTTTCTTGCTCTGGGGTGATAAGGAAAGGGGAGAGGGGTTGCAATGCAAAAAGGATGAAAGCGGCGCAGACCAGTAGAATTGGCTGCATGAAACCTTATTCCTTTCAACTATTATTAAAGGGTGGTACAATCTTTCCCCTCTTTGAGTAGGAGGATATTATTACCACATATCAGTGTTCAAGGTTGCTATTTACAATATAAATCAAATATACTGCTTCCAGAGGCTCTGACTGATGGAGAAAAAAAGCATTAACTGCCAGGAAGCAGGTTTTCCTGTACTATCATTCAGTGGTCACTAACCTTTTCAATACAACCTTGATATTGCATTGCTAATTGTATAATTTAAAGAATACAAGTTTTTAATATTTGTTCTAGGAGTAACGTTAATCACACTGCTTTAGAGCTGCATTTGCTTGTTGGAAGCTTACCAGTTAATAAGCTAACTGCTAGTAATAACCATTAATGCAAACCCTACTTGAGTAATGTCACTTGTGGTGTTTAATGAATTAAGCTCAAAAAATAGAATAGAGTACTAAACTTGACTGACTTGCTGTAGAGGCAGCACAGAATTAGTCATTGGCTGTGAATGTTAATCACTCCACAGCAATGATAATTTACAGCATTGTTGTAGCACTCTTGTGCTCATAAAATGAACTTAATAACCCACTGCTACCCATGGGATAAGCCTTCCTTCTCCTTCCCTCCCCCTTGCAATTGAATATCCAGTCTGGCTGCATAATAGCCTTGTGAAATACTGCATTTAAAAGAGTGAGCAGCTGTATGATAAAATAAACAGCTCTAAAACAGATTTGTTAATTATCTCTTTCTTTTATTCGCAGAGGGTGTTTGTGAGATATGGCTGACCAGTGAAGACACAGGGGCTTATGGCAGAGACATTGGCACAGACCTCCCCACCCTTCTGTGGAAGCTGGTTGAAGTTATTCCTGAGGGAGCTATGCTGAGGCTTGGCATGACAAACCCTCCCTATATTTTAGAGCATCTGGAGGTAAGGAAGAAAAGAGAATCATTTATGTGCCGACATAGACATTCATTGAGTGAGTCAGCATGGAACCTTGTGTGCAGTGTGTTTCATTTTAAGCGGTAGCTCAAAAAAATTATAGACTTCACAGAAATTTATAGAGTTAGACTAACAGTGTTAAGCCATTTGCCTGACACAGCAAGTTACTGAAATAATAAGATACTCAAATGATTTTGGAATCATAATTTTACTGAGATCTCTGACGTGTAGGACCTTATTGTAGTGATGTTCATTTTTGTGTATGACTAGTGTTTCCAATAACTAAAGGAAATGTCATTAGGAGGTGATAGACTCTGCGATTGAATTTGCCTTCCTGCTACAGCTCAGGCAAATATTTCCAGAAACGCTATATGCTGGTCTCTCTCAATGGTGTATTCATTATCCTGTTTCACATGTTATTTTTAGAGTCTGTAGACTTAATGATAAGAAATAGAAATCTAAGTGTATAACTGTATTTAAAAAAAAACGTAACAAAGTAGTTCAATGAGATTAGAAGCTACAGAGTGTACAAGAGTGTGAATTTGAAAGAGTATCCTGTGCATAGAGAGGAGAAAATGAGAGTTTCTTCTCAAAGTTGGGTTGGTTTTGTTGGATTCTGTCACCAGATGAATTTATTGAAATTTCTAGGAACTGTTCACAGAATGAACCCAATTTTAAAGTGACGAAAAAAGCAGGGAAGGATGTAGTTTAAGGTAAATTTTGTAACCATGTGCATCAGCAATACCCAGATAAATAGCTGGTGTCCATGCTGCTTTGCCAGAGATATTATAGCATTAATAGTTGCACTTGTGTTTCCTTAAGGTGTCAAGGACAGTATTTTCTCACCAGAGTGCTGTAACTGTACCTTTCCCTAATGCTGAAGCATGTGGACTAGGAGAATCTCATCTTGATAGGAATAAGCAGGTTTTCACTTCTCCAGCTACAGAACACAAAATGCAGAAAATTGCAAGAAACTTCCTGTCTTATTTTATTCTTTGGTTTAACATACGCTTCACTAAGAGTCTTAACAGCACACCTGATAGAAGCCTTTAGGAAGTGGTGTGGTTGTTTGTGAGAGCTTTGTGTTGTGTCTCAGACTCTGATATCTGTCTCAAGTTTTTCTTCTTTTTATTTTAACGTTTTTCAGCATCTTGTACAAAAGCAAATCAAGCTTTTAGTTAGTGTCTTTGCTTAAATTTTTTATTTGCGTTATTTAATGGTTTGGCATAGACTGCTGCTTTTGTCACTGCTGGTCATCATATGGGTACTTTTAGAAACTTAAAAAAAAAAAAAAAAGAAAAATTAGCTGCTGTAAATAGCAAACTGCTCTGCCCAGGTAAGAGGCACTGTAGTAGTCTTAATTTGATATAATATGAGAAAAGTAGAAAGAATATTGCTTTGCTTCAATCAGTAGCCAACATAGTAAGTGTGAGCTTTCTGTTCACAAGTCTGTAAATTTATGATCTCTGTTCTTCCTGTTTCTAAATTTTCTAGAAAGTGCTATAGGTAGGACTTTTATCTGACTCATATTTAGGAAAAATACTCTCATTTCTTTAAAAATGGATCTTTAGGTGTCATGGCAAAGTAAGAGGAATTCATGAGAGCCTATTGAAAATGAGTGTCTTGAATGTCGCTGTGCAGACCATGCTTTATGTGTGCACCAACCTTATTGTATAATGACAACATCTGCTGTTGCTTGTCATCTTCAGTGTTCCTTACAATTTCCAGTTCATATGATTTTTTTTAAAGGATTATTTAATCACAGTTCTGTGTTTCACGTGTGACTAAGAATTTCTGAGCTTGAAATTTGGTGACATAATTTTGATGATTTGACAAACTATATTTGTAAAAAAAATTTTACCTTCTGCATTTTTATCTTATCTCCTCTTCTAAGCTCACCAGACTTGTCTTTGAAGGATCACTGGGCAGTGTTAGCAGTCTTCTGTATACATTTTCACTAAACAAAATAAACTTTTTATGGGGAATGTGCTTTTAATTTTTCAGTTGAGGAAAGGGTAAAAGTATAATTTGTTAAAAAAAACCCCAAATTAAATGAGAAAGTGATTAACCTTTGTGTCAGTTGATGAAGATAAAATCCAGATGTAGATCTGTTATCTCTTAAGAAAGGTATGAAGTTGGGTTATTTGCTGCAAACATCTTTCATTAATTGTTTTAAAAGGTGCTGCATTTTAATAATTTATTTTGTTAGGATGTTGTTTGGCTTTCTGTGAAAAAATTTTACATTGGAAAATGTACTAATCTTGTGTCACTTTTTATATACAATGAAAAGGACCAAGTTATTCCAGTCATGTATTGTTTTTAAAAATCAGAAATTTTCAGCAATACAGCTTGCATACAACTGAACATATGCAACTGCTAGGCAAGAGTTTATTTCACTTTAGAAATTAACATGTCTGATATGTAGAATAGAGCAACAGTAGTCATGTAAAAGTATAAATTAATTTTAAGATCTAGACAGAGCTTCCCTGGAGACTCAGTCTAAAAGCAATTATTTTGATTCATTTACACTTTTCCCATATTTATTGGAGCTTACCTGCAGGTAAAAGGTTTGGCCAGTTTTATGTCTGTCTTATTCTTCTAACCTCCAAAGCTAGTAACAAAGTTTATTAACATATATTTGTTTTCTCCAGTTACACTCATTTGTAAGTTAAATGTTTTAAAATATGTGTTTCCAGAGATGATGCTATGTATATTTTTTTCAATACTGATCTGTAGTAATACATGGACTCTTCTATCATTGGAACTTGTTAGCTACTTAAATATGAGTTTTTTAAACAATTTACAAAAATCTGTTTTCCTTCCAGTTGTTGTATATTTTAGTGACTCATCATTCAAAGCATCAGGTCATTGGCTTGATTATGTCCTTGGAATTCACAGGTTTATTTTACTCTTTGCTGGAGCGTCTACACCTTTCAGTTTTCAGGATGTGAGGAGATTGGAGATAAAAAGAACAGGGGTGCGCAGATTAGTGTGGTGAGTTGTTGATGGCACAGATGCAGCAGAAGGAAAGAATTCCCTGGACAACGTTGCAGCAATGCTAATGTCCTCAGTGAATGAGGAAAACATTGCACTTACGGATAATGTGATTGAACAGAGTCAGTTTAAGATTTCATATGATTTAAAATACTGAGCATACCTGGTGCCTTCAGGTGCTGCTGTCAGGTAAATGTCATCCTGTACTTAAAGATGGTTGTTGTTTCAGGGGGTGCTGTTAATCTCTTGAAAATCCTCAATCTGCTTGTGTTGTATGGTCTCACAATTTAGTACTTTAGTTTTTTATTCAGTAAATATGGGGGTAATAGTGCCGTGTTGAGCATGACCGGTCTTGGGATGAGAAGCAACCATATGTTTTCAAACTGTAAATTCTGCATTCAGTTAGGCCTTTTTATTTGTAAAGAAAGAAATATTTGGAACCATACAGTCTTTTAGAGTCATGCAAAATATTAAACACCTTTTGATATGCTGCACACTGAGCTGAGTCATTACAAAAAGAGCCTTTATCACAACTATTCAGGGTGTAAAAATACTAAATATTTTATCTGCTATTTTTTTCAGCTGCAGATGATGTCTGTGCTTACTTTAGTGAGTAGTATGAAGTAGCAAAATCAGATCAGGAAATCACGGAATTTGGTAGTGAAACCACTATATTTAGGTTTACCTGCATTTTGGAGTCCTTACTTCAAAATCAGTCTAATGCTGTTAGTCAGACTTTCCCACTACCTATGATCCAAAGCTGTTTCAAAGACAGACCATTGATTTGAAGCCCTCTGTTCCCACCAACGGAATACACTCACTGTGAACCTGGAGTATGGCTACTGATTTCCTTGGATGTGAATTTAGTTTGCCCACTACAAGGTCACCCTGCAGACTGAACAAACCAATGGCCATAAAGGGAGCATGGGAAATTGCACTTTAAAGTTTCACTGCTGCTTTCAACAGGCAATGAATGTGAACGCAGCCGATCCTTGTAGGACTTCTCCCACATGAGGTTTGTTGGTATGACAGAGAGGGTTATTTGGTGTGTTTGAAGAAACTGAAGGACTGGAGACCTCAACATTTGTTTCTCTTGATCGTAGTACTAAGACTGAGAAAAAAGTTGGAGCTTGTGGTTTACCTGCAGAGGACATTTTCAGTTTTCCTCTTGGAGAAAATCTGACTGAGCAATGGAGGTAGAATTGCGGTTTTCCAAAGTGCTCTTTCGCAGTCTTAGAGTCTCTTTGAATGTATACATAATGAAGCATGTTGCTTGCTTATTTGAAGTTTGGTCTCAAACTGAGATTTTGCGATATGTGCAGTGGGAGATATGTCCAGTGTCAGTCCTCTCTTAATATGTCGATGCAACACGGCATCGAGAAAAACTTGGAATTTTATCTACATGGCAGAAAATTTTAGTAAACAGACATGAACTATGGTCAGGGAAAAATAATTTAGCTCAGATTTTATTTTTTTTTCTAAATTTTATATGATGTTAAAGGTGAAGGAGAAGGTTAGTGTTAGAGTCCATTTTACAGTCTTAGCAAAACCTAAAAGGAATGCATGTGTGTGTGGTTACCTTGTGTACTCTTGCCCATATGTCTTTGCACAGAGCTACTGCTCTAATTACACACACTGCCAGATGGCAAAGATTTTATCATGGTATAGTATCAACATGTAGCAGAAGTAGGTAAGGAATACACCCTGCTTTAGAAGTAACCTCCAGGCATTTTTTCTGCAATCCTGTTACAAAGCTGTTCGCTAGTGCTCCAGTGAGATGGTGTTTAACATCCACTTGCAGTGACTGATGGAGCGGGAGGGTTGGAAAAAGTCCATTAAAACAGTGGCAGGAGATAAACGATGAAAGGGAGTTAGTCTGAAAAGTAAGAAATAAGGCCAAACGTATAGCAGCTTGAAATTAATTAATGTTTGTGGCATAGTGTTAGATACCAATTTTTGCCCTGCTTATATTTCACTTTTCCATAACTGAATTT